AAATAACACAAACACCAGTACAGAATAAAAAAAGATAATACATAGTCTTTCTTTCAGGTTATGATAGTGGAATACATATACATATGTGTGTATACTTGTAGATATTTATACCCACATACTATAATACAGTACAGATCAAGAACAACAACAAAAAAGAGAAACTGTCATGTTAATCGGTGTACAGTTCCAGTTATTTACACTCACAGATAGTATACCTGTGCAATATGTAGGATTAGATCACTCAGTGGAAATCAGGAATCAGTCAGTCAGTCTGATAGTGATCACAGTTTACCACCCTCATCGCTTTAACCAAAGCTTGCAATAACAAAAGAACAACTATAGTTCTTGATTTAAAAATGACTGTTACATAGACAAAAAAATGACTACCTTGAGTTTTTGGTAGGTACTAAGTCTGGTGAAATTGGTGCAGAATGTTGTGAACATATTGGCACATTTCTAAGCCACAGAAGAAATATTTAAAAATATATAAAAATATGAGTGCCTATATTTTAAGTAATGAAAGTGGTTTGACCCCAGATTCATGCAGATTGTTTTTGAACCCTAGTTAGCATTGCAATGGCGACTTCTCCTTGTGGAGGCGCTCTAAGTGATGGAATGGAATAGTCAAACTATAACAAAAGCATCCAGTAAGGGAAAAGCCCCCCATATTGGCAAGTGGCACAAATATTATTGGCATTTTAATATACCATAACCTTGACCTGAGGGTGGAATGGCATTTTGCCTCATTTACTCCCTTCAATTTATTATTAAAAAAAAAATACTGGTATTTAATAGGATACAAATTCTTAAGCACCATCTAAAAGTTCACAATATTACCACCTTTATCAATTCTGAGTTGCTCTTTCTCAAAAAAGATTTTTAGAAATTTTAATAGTTAAAAAAAATTATAGTGGCTGAATTAATTTCATTCCATTAGCCACGACTCATCCAAAACATTTTAAGACACATTTACCATTCAGGTTTGGTGATAAAAAGCAACAAAGAGAATAAGTATATTTAGGTATTGGTAGTATAGTGTGATAATGTTTCCTTACGTAAAACTCATCCTGTTTAGGGCATGATCATCAATGAAGTATAAACAATGTACATGCAACCCACAGTTAATCCACATTTCCTTCATAATTCAATATTCACAAATCTTAGAACAGCTGAACCACACGACTGTATTTATACAGGGGCAATTCAAACATTGCATGCGGATTAAATGATTCCTTAATGGGATAAACAGGTGATTGTTTTGGAACACATGGGATGCAGCTTCCCAGGGAAAATCTAACAGTGATGTTCATGGGCCACGGGCTTTGTTCATGTGGCTTATCAGCCATCATGTTTGTGGCTAAGCCATGCAACGATCCTCATGACCTTCACAAGGATTATGAGCAAAGTGTTATTCTGAAGTACAATTCTGAGGTTGAAAAATGACAAAGTTTGCTTCACATGAAACCACTCCTTATACTATAGCATGAAAGTATGTACAGGGACTGTCCAAATGAACGTGCCCGTTAGAACCACCACGACTGCCCAGTAACCTCCTCCCTGAAGAACTGGCAAATTAAAGCTGCACTGAAGCAGAAGGTTTGAAAAATGAATGGTGACAAAATGATTCAGGGCCTGAAAAAATGGAGGGCGGCCGAGACGATGTTTAGAGACAGACACTTTGCCTGTGTGCCCTGACCTGAAGTAGGTAGTGGTACTCAGGGGAGGCGCAATCACCTTCCTGGGAGGGCATCTGAACATGGGAGCGGCCTGTTTGTTTGGTTTTAATAACTGGACATGCTACTGGCATTTAGTCAGCGGGGGCCTGGGATAGTGAACAGCTTATAACGTGTGGGATGTTCCTGTACAGCAGAGAATCACCCAGCGCCAAATGCCAACAGCGCCCCCACTGAGAAACATCAATCCACAGCGCTTTGCTCATATGCACAGCTGTGCTAGCAATGCGACACGAGAATTGCTTTTTTTTTTTCTTCCTGGTGTGTGTATGTGCAGGAAGTCCCAGCATAGCTAAAAATGAGCCTTGTCTGCAGGGTTGGCTTTTGGTGGGAATAACTGCCATAGGATTCTCCATTTTTTTTCTTTTTGCCAGAAATCTTACAGCCTATACAATGGCATTTGCTAATTTGGGATGACTCTGCCTTTGGAAAAGCTTAAGTGGACTATGTTTCTGTTGATTTCTAGAAATACTAATGGTGGCTCACGTTTCCATTCAGAGCTCAAGTTTAATGATTATAAAAAACAAAAAAGAGTGGTTTGGGGGTATTTACCTTTGTTCCTACCACCTTTTGGCAAATGCCAAATTATAGTAGAGCCCCATGCTACTCTGAAATTTGAGTTTGAACTGTTTGGAGATGTGCTCTCTCTTAGAAAAAGGGCCCTATTAATTTGTTGATTTTCCCCTCTAGGACATATTTCAGTTCTAGAAGCTCATTCTGCTTTGTCAAATAAAACAAGGTGATATAGCCCACCTATTAGTAGAGAGCAAATACTCAGTAGTGGAAGATTAACTCTTTCAAGAGGCCAAGAGAGAATTTTGTAATGAATTACATCCTAGTGGTTCCTTAGTGTTCACAGCATACTCTAAGGATGTGAAGAACTTAGCTTTTGTTTCAAAGGACATACTTTTACTAGTAAGGTTAGGCTTGAAAATGTAACTGGAATTTAGGAATGCTTGAGCTACCAGACTGATGAAATGTCACAAATTTATGTATCTTATACGAGTTTAATTCCCTCTCACCTGCTCTGAAGATTTCTCACACTAGTGAAATGTGCTGCTGGGACCACTTAAAAACAGTAACAGATGCAAGAAAATTTTGAGCAAGAAAGGAAGAAAAGAAACCTTCCTTGTTCAAATGTGGGCATACTACTAGGCGGTAGACAAGACTGCCCTTTTCTATTGTGAATACAGCATAATTTTCGAAAGTTGTGTCTGCCTAACTCCATTAAGTATAAATACAGCACCTGTTATGTGGTAAAATGTGGTACCTAATCAGGATAGGTAGTATTAATGCAGATTTTTCTCTTTTAAATGTAAGCTACTGTATTTTTTTTAAAGTGCCAGTGCAGCACTGAATTGCAGGGTATAAAATCTGAATTATGGGTTTTAAAGACTTATCTCTCATTTTCAATATTAGATAATTTTTGAAGGGTGTTTGCAAGTCTTCTACTTCCTTAAATAGATTTTCACTTAAATTTCAGAACTTACTACTTACAGAATATATTTACTAACATTAGAAAAAGATAAGTAAAAAATCAGTGTGCTAATAAAGGATATAAAATGAAACAGAAAGTCAGGTTTTCTGGGTAAATCAGAGAGAGAGGAGTTTGCCTTTTCCTCCATTTAAAAGTTATTAAAATACCCCAAATGGTTCTCTGAATATTATTCATTTCATTTAAAGCATTTAAGGGGTTAACATAATGTCTCGACTGTAAAAAATACGAGACATTTCACACACACAGGAAATGATCAGGCAGGGCCACTTTAAATTAATGCTGTTCACCAGAGATCTAATTTGTCAGATTGATTGATAATGGCCACAAAGATGCTGATAAAGCCCATGGAAAGAGCCACTAACAGTCTGTCTCGTTCTTTCCTGCCTGGAGCCTTCCTAGAGATGAGTTTGTTTTTTTCCTTAATCATATCCTGGGGACTCAGGAAAACCCATGCACTTCCTCTATGTCAGCCTAATGTTGCACTTTAAATAGGGGAAAACCTGGAGCTGTTACAACATGATCCACACACACATTAATCTTCTTTCTAGAACTGTAGCTTACTGGGTAGATTGCAGATATGCTGAAATTGCAGAAATGCTCAGGTAGAGGCTTAATTATGGGGGGCGGGGGGGGGTGCATTTCACACCTTCACAGCCATTCAGGGCTACCAAGCAAAAGACCTCTAGATGGGTTGCTGGGGTGGAAATGAATTGTTTCTGCCTTTTAGAATCAGCTATTAAAATGGAGCCTATCCTGCAAGATATAGCTTAGTTCACAATCCTTCAATTCTCTCCACAGCTTTTTATTTAAAGAATCAATCTAGTGAAGTAATTGATGGTTCCAATTCTTAAATATTAGACTAGCAGTGGTTAAGTTTTTGGACTTTAACACTTGTCGCTTTTAAAGGTTTATCTAATCATGTAAACCAGGATAAAGAAAAAGTGTGGGTAGGTCACAAATCTGATCTATCATACAAGAAAAACAGTATCTTGAGGTGCCAGATTCTCATTTTTGTTTTGGGTACTTCTCGTTGTAGGGAATAAAAAAAATTGCATCACATGCACCACCAATGGGAAAAAAACTGTTCCTTTTATCAACCAATTAGGGATTTTCTATGATACATATATTGAGTGATAAAACAGAGATGTCTTATATTTACCATTTTTATGGAGGTGAGGTCTTTTTTGATTAGAAATCAAAACCATGTTCAAAAATCATAAGTATAGAAAATTAAAATAACATTACAGTCCTTGGTATTTTCCCCAAGACAATAAAATAAGGAAGAGGATAGCTTCAACAGAAAATTACAACATAGATAATGTCTATGGCTGTAAACACTATGAAATGAACAAAACCTCAGCCAGACAAGGACATGCGGGAATGCAGAAACACTTTTCCAGAGCAAAATATGTCTTATCCTATTAATGAAATAACACCAGTGCGGAAATCTACGTTTATTTCATTAACGCACATGGCCAAGTGCAGTGAGGGGTGCAATAATGCTGGTCACTTTTCCTAGTTATTAATGGTCCTGGTTTTTTGTAATAGACTGATGGGGGCCAAATTAGTTTTACTTTTAAGCAAAATCATCCCAATTTCAAGTGTGTCTTTAAAACATCAATAAGAGGCAGGATCCAAATTTATCCTCCAGATGAAATGTTTGCTTTTTTGGTGGAAATAGAAAATGATGGTCTTCCATAGTAGGAATCAGAATCATTTCAGAAAATTCTAGTCCAAGCTCTGAGAATAAAATTAAGTCTCTTTAGGTCTTGTCTTGTTATACAAATCATGTGTTTTTAATAAAAGGGGAACAAAATAACTGTGGGGAAAAAAACAATTAAATGAAAGGGAACATTTACATATGGTCATATGGATTTGCGAGCAGAAGCCATGCTTTGCCGGTGGCTCCATGGAAAACAGCGAGATAACGGTGGAGGGTCTGTGAATGTAAACAATACTGACTGTAGGCTCATAGGGAAACTTCCACAACTCTAAAGTCACCTGTTTTTTGCACTGAAACTCAATGTTGTACTTATGGATGCAACCTGCAGACTCTTAATACACAAAATGAGATTCTCCTCACTCTCAACTTAGCAAAAATCTTCTGTGTTCTTTTTATGTCTTTGAGTGCTTTGTTGATCCACATGCTTAATCTTTTTAAATAGCAGCAATCCAACTTAATGCAGCATGGAAAATAAGTAGTCCTTTGCAGTCCTATTAAGAGCTAACTGCTGGCAGAACACTTACATTTTGCTTAAGTTTTAATTCTGGAATCAGATTTTTAAAAAAGATGTGATTGTCGATACTATCTTCCTTCGATCAAACATGGTTGTTTCAACTTTGGAGATAAGCTAGGGAAAGACCAAAATATTTATTTCTAAAGCTTGCTACAGTTTAATAGGGTCACATCTCATCTGACTTTATTCCCAGTCCTGTTATCCTTGTGGTAAGGAGTATTAAAAAAAAAGTAAAGTATGTATATCTATGCTACTTAAAGCATGCAACAGAATTTGGGTAAGCATGCTTGTTAAGAGTCCATAAAAGCCTCTTGCATTTAAGAAAAAGATGCATGAAAACACTCAGACTTATTTCTGGCAACTGGATTCACTGGCACAACATAAAATAATGGTACTACACAGTACCAACATAATGGTGAAAAGATATTCCTCTAGGATTAGGTCTCTAAGGAATCCACTCTGGGTGATTAGATCCCCAAATCCCTTAATAACTTCTTAGCTATCAAAAGCCTACTTCAAAAATACATTTATGCTTCAATTTTTTCTTTGCTTCATTAACATAATGAAATTTTTCTCTTTCTTTCTGGTTTTCAACCCCCACCCACCCTCTTCCAGTGCCCAGCCATTCCATTCCCCATTTTTCTTTTTTTTTAAACCCGCACTCTAAACTTTGGCTTTCTGGTAACAGGGAGCCAGTGATTGTCTTCTGCTGATCTTCTTTGATTAAAACCCTGATGAAGAATAACTGGTGTAACCATTGTGTCCCTTGCCATCAATACACATGCTGGACAGCAAGGTCACTATACCCGTCCCTTCGCTTGTTGGCCCCGTCTGGGCTGTACAGGTGGGGAGCAGTCTCCACACGCTTCTTCTCCGCCAGTTAAATGGAAACACACATCATCAAATCCCAGTGCAATATCAGGTGTTCAGGAAGCAAGACTTCCCCCAAAGATGATCAGTCTATGTTTCCAAAGAGTCTCACACCTCATTACGGACGATGAAACCTGAAATAAGAAGATGGAAACTCTGAGTCTGTTATATAGAAGCACAGACTGCATTCAGTGAACTGAATAAGGTATGGTGATGTCTGCACTCAGAAGTGCTCTAGATATCTCCCAGCTGAATTACTGTCATAACAGAACACTGTTACAAATGTTATGTTGGAAATTAGAGGCAGACCTTGTACAAAAGACGCTGGTTATATCATCTGGGATATAGAGCAATTAGTACACAAAGCATCACGATCCTTCAGCGTCATGTTCTGACCTGTACTGAGCAGAATGAGATGTTTCATGAAGGTTTTGGTTACACCTGGTTTGTAGCGATACAAGAAAAACATCAACAAATAGTCACTATTTCATTAGCTTCAGCCTGTCATCACCTCTCGCTAAGGACTCCAAATCTACTTTCTACACCTGAATTGCCAATTGCCTGCTGGGAATTTTCTTCCAAATGTTCCACAAGCATGTCCACAGCCACACAGATGATCTTTTCTTGTAAAACTGCCTTTGCACTTTCTATCTTGACATTTTACCTTTTAAAATGTCTTTAGTCTAAAACCTCAGATTTGCAACTCATATCTCTCCTTCACCTTCCGTTTCCCATTAGTCACCCAATTCTGCCTCCATTGCCTGTCTCGGAATTCATGACAGGCCTCACCCCCTTCTGCTGGCACACTTTAGCAGCATGCCAGATAGCTGGCTGGCTTCATTGCCCTCCATGCGAGTTCCTGAACATTCCTTGTGACTTTGCAGATTGTGCTTTGAACATGCTGTTCCCTAATAATGCAATACCCTCCCTTCATTTTTCATCTGTGTTTTCACAATCAAGACCAAGGTCAAGGCCATTTTCTCCATAGGCCTTATCTGATCTGCCTCTTCAGCCTGTTTCTGTGAGTACACATTTTTTTGTTTGTCTTATATAATCTAATGTGCTTCTGCCCCAGTAAACTAGTCTCCTAATTCATTCCCTGTCCAGACCCATAGATTTGGAGATAAAATCTGTGTTTCACATAGTCACTAGCATTATCATCATCAATATTCATCTGATTATTCTAGTTCTTTGTTAATACCATTGTATTATTCTTCATTCCCTACAAAATATTATTTAAATTTCTTAGAGTAGTGATTGAGGTCTTTTAGGATGTGGGCCATCTTTCTAGATATTTGGGGGGGACCTCCCAAAACTGGTTTATTTACAGAAAAGTGTGTATTTATTCTTACATGTGTAAACTTCAGTTACTTTCAAAGTACTCTTCATCTGATGCAATACACCTATTAAGGGATTTTTCCTGCTGCCCAAAACAGTATTTGAACTTGTTGATTTTGATGCCTTTTAGTGCTTCTGCCATTTTTTGTTTTACCTCTTCCACATCAGCAAAATGCTTCCCCTTGAGGACTTTTTTCATCTGGGGAAACAAAAAAAAGTCACTCGGGGCAAGACTGGGGATGAATAGGGAAGGTGGGGCACGGGGGTCATGCCATTTTCGTCAAAAACTTTGGAACTCTCAGCGCTTTGTGGGCCAGGTGAGCTCGTAAATCATCCATCATGAAATGGGCAAACGCAACAAAAGACTCTTAAAAAAAATTCACTAAAGCTGAACGCAGCCTCTCACAGTGTATGCCAGCTGGTCCACCGATACAGTTGGATTCCTAGAACACTCGCCTAGCAGGGGGAAGCCTGTACTGCAAGAGGCCTGCTCTTCAGAAGATAATTCCGGTTTTTGGGGGGGATAATCCCTCGTATCTCCATCACTACCCCTAAAATACCCTGTTTCAATCCGTTGCCCTCAAATGCTCCTCAATCTTGTGCTCATGCATAACAACAGATGAAACAAGATTGGCCATAAACTGACATTTGGAGAAGGTGCATGATGGATGCATAGGGCTTGTTATATTACTTTTTCATGTTTGACTATCCAACAGTCAAAATAAAAATAAGATATATCAAGGTTTCCAAAACATGTTGTGACTAAAGTAGAAAGGCGTCCACTTTGAGTTCTATTCTTAACTCTACCCCGAACATAACCTCGGGCAGGTGTGTGAACTTTGATGGTCTACATTTGTTAAATGGCGACAGTATTACTGTTTCAGTCACAGGGGTCTTCTTTTTACCCTCAGATCATGCAAAATTCTTCCCCAGGCCCTTTGTCCTAGCTCTTCCCTTAACCTTCGTTGATCCGTTTTGGGGGTTGAATGTTTTCCTCTCTTCCAAAAGTGCTGATGGCTCTCTCCTGTCACTTAAATCACAAAATAACTTTTATTTCCTCAGTATACCCCTGTCCTCACCATCATGTCTATACTCACCCGTGCCCCTCCCACAGAATCCTGTCACATTTTCATCATAGTACCTAACACAGTCTGATATTATCATATTTGTTTGTTTGCTTGTTAATGGTTTGTCTTCCTCATTAGACAATAACCACGTGAGATCAAGGAGCTGAGAGTGAGCACCTTATCTGACTTGCCCTAAATTCCCAGGGTCCAGAACAGAGTCTGGTTCACGCTATGTGCTCAGTAAATGTCTGGTGAATGCATAAACAACTGAATACATATATACAGGGGCACTTAGAAAGTTATTGATAACTCTTTGTATAATTCTCTATAATTGAAGAATCCAATTATGAAGCCCCTAAAATCAATTATAATTAAATGTATGTTAAGCCATGATAACCTATCTGGTCAGACATTGTGTCATGCTTTCCAGGAAATCGACCATAACCTGAAGAAAAATATAAAAATTCTATAAAAATAGTACAAAAGAATAATTGAAAACCTCTTAAATCAAACTACTCTATAAAATATGAGGCAGGTAATTAAAATGACAGTTCAAGTTTAGATCTATATCTCTATCTATCTCCTAATTGAATCCTGAAAACAATCTTACGAGGTATGTATTCCTGTATCCCTTCTGTACAGGTGTGGAAACTGAGGCACAGGGATGCTAAGGCACGCACCCAAGGTGGAGAGCTGGTAAGCAGGGATGCCAGGCTCCAGATTCTGTGTCCTAACCTACACCAGACAATGAGATCAAAACACACCTTCATCCCTACTTCCATTCCAAGGGTTTTTAAATTAGTTTGGTGCTCTGTGGGTGTAATGGAATAAAAAAGGTGATCAGTTGGATTTCTACATCCATCAGTCAGTTTTGATCCATTCTGACCACAGTCCTGTTCCGCCATAGCTACAGTTTGATGGTACAGTTGTCTCAAAGGCCTCTGCCTTTTGTCACGTAGAAAGCTACATGAGAATGGGCCCAGCACAAACTTCTCGCAATTACCAGAGAAGCAAGTCCAGTGAGGTCCCTGTTTGAAACCAGCAGCATCAGTTCCCTCCATGCGGGAAACAGAAGTGCTGCCCTCGCCACACAGAGGAGCAGGGGCCCCAGGGGCTCCGTCAGTACAGACAGACGCACACCCTGCAGCATCTTTACACCACGAGCCTCCAAAGGTTTCCCTCTGTCAGGTTCAGCTTTACAGGAATTACATACTCCTGCAATTTAGCAATTATTTTAGCCCTCTCCTTATTTGCTGGGCTTCATACAACAAACCCTCCACCGTGTCCTAATCTTTTGGCCCTGGATTCAAAGGACACGTTTGGGGACACGTGACAGGAGAGGTTTTCTCTTTCCATCGATGTCTGTGGGATGAAAAAGGTAAAATAAAAATTGGGTTGGGGAACAAAGTGAGTAGTCAGTGGACCAGGAGAGATTTAGAGCCTTCTAAAGTCCAGCATTTTTCTGGAATGTGTCCTGTAAAAACATTTCTAAAAATTGGCAGGACACTCTAAGATTTTTTGTTTTTTGGGTTTTTTTTTTTCTGCAGACACAATTGGCCCATGGATCCCATTAGAGAGTGAGTTCCACAGTCTGGATCGCATGGAAGGTCACAGGCCATTAGCGCTGCTTCAAGGGCTGGCTAAGAGAGGGAGGTGACCAACTAACAGCGGGAATGCTCTAACACGCTGACAAAGCCGGGGGTCAGAATTGTGCCCTCTCTTTGTATGGGCTGCCCAGATCTGGCCCAAAAAAGTGTATATTTTCTTGTACTATCCAATCAGAGAAGGGTATTTATACATCCTTTTTCAAGTAGGCATCCTGTCTTCAAATTCAGCTCTAAAACCTCATGTTAGAGGTACTGAAATTGTTCTGAAGTTTGTTAACGCAGTGGTTTGTGTTCATTTTGAAACGTAAGAGGTGTAGCTTTGCCTACTGAGAAGTCTGCCTGCCTGATGGAATGACAGTTTGGGCTTTGGGTTTCTGGGTGATGGAGCAATAAATACATCTCCTGTTCCCTAAGAATACTGAGGTTTTTCTGGCTGCTCTTTATTCCCCAGAACTATCCAGAGACTCACATGTGAAGTTATCTATATTTTCTTCCTCTTGTTAAAATTGCAATACATTTTTCTTATTTCCATGCTGTTGAGAGGGAGTAAATGGGGGGAAAGCTATTTTTAAGTTATGGGATTAAGGAAAAAATAATTCTTTTCCATTAAAATTCTTTTCCATATGGTTCCTCCATAATTTATTTTTAAAAAGGCACTCATATAAATTCATTCAGATAATACAAAGTATAAAATTACTCACGAATGTAAAATATAAACTTTCCTATACTTGCCTATTTGTTATATACAGAAATCCTGCAATATTTCATTTCCCCTTTATTTAAAATGGTTTGTTTGTCCGGGCATACACACTTAGGGTAAACAAATATGGAGAGTCTCCTAAACAATCGCTCCTTGCTCTTTCCCAGAAAACAGACCACAGGTTAGGTGGGATTTCGTTATTTTGAATGCTGAGCCATGGTTTCAATCCTGGTGCTTATGTAGCATTTTGCCACTCTTTTAAGTTTTTGTCCAGGTAGCAAGAAGTGGAGAACCCCTGAAAGAAAGTGCCTCTGCGGAGCACCGTTCATTTTTATTTTGGTTCCAGGTTGTAGTTTCTGCCATGTCACATTTTGATAAGCATATCTAGAAGCTGAAAGAGTGGTTTACTTTATCAGTAAATA